AAAGAGAGCCTGAATAACTGAATTGCAATAGCAGGTGTTTCCAAACTGTAATAACAACAAAAGAGAGTGTTACGTTGACAAGTCCAAAGTATCGTTCGTTTGGAGGCAGTTTATCAGCGCCAATTTCTCTTTCAAGTTGGGAAACGTTAGGTCCCTTGAAATTTTAATTAAAATAGCTTATTACCATCCTAAAGCAGTTTATGTGCATATTGTACGAACCATTTTGTTTGACAAATAAATAGGAAAGACAAGTAGAAAAGGTGTAACGCAATTTAAAAGATTGAGTAGAATAAGTATACAGATCAACATATTACTTATGATAAATCTTTAAAATAAGTAATTAATAACTAAAAATTTTATTTAAATAAAACGTTTTTTAATATTTTAACAAAAAGAGAACTATTTTAAATAATATGTCTTATATAAATATTTTTATTTTATTTTACCTAAATTTTTTTGCCGTGCTTTCTTGGAATTAGCGCGCTTTTTCCCTCCCTTCATCGCTGCCTTCACTAATGATTCATCCGGGTGATAAAGATAAAAAGAAAAATGATCAGTCTGATCACGAATCAGATTCAGATGATTCTGTTCCAGAATTGGAAGAAAAGGATGGGGCTAAGGCTTCTGGTGACAACCTCTCGAAGAGTAAGCAATCAAGGAGTGAAAAGAAAGCACGAAAGGCAATGTCCAAATTAGGTCTAAAAAGCGTTCCTGGTATCTGCCGCGTTACTATTCGAAAAGCAAAAGCTATAATATTTGTTATTAGTCAGCCAGAGGTCTATAAATCGTCTGCGAGCGATACTTATATCATATTTGGAGAGGCCAAGGTCGAAGATATGTCAGCTCAGGCTCAGCTCGCTGCTGCTGAAAAATTCCGTTCTCAAAATCTAAGTGGAGCAGCAGCCCCCACTGCTGCTTCATTATCTAAGGACCTCTCAAATGTATCAAAGGTCTCTATTGTAGAAGAGTCTGAAGATGAAGAGGAGGTTTGTTCTATGCTACTTACGTTCTTTTAGCCTGATATAACAGGATTAAGTGAAAAGGACATCGAACTCATAATGGACCAAGCGAGCGTTTCCCGAAGAAAAGCCATCAAAGCTCTTCGTGAAAACGATAATGATATGGTCAATACGATTATGGTAAGCTTTTCATCAGTACATTTCCATTTTAGTCTCTCACTGGATAATGTTTTTTGGACATTCAAAATCATCTATATACACCATTGTGGTATAAAATGGCTTTTTATTCTCATTTTACACCTGGGTAGTATGGCCCTAAAAAATTCCTCACATGTTGGCTTTTGCCTTTGCTTCTTTAGTGGATTTTATAGATTTACTTTGGTATGGCCTTATGCGATTCCTTTTCTTACGCCTGCTTATAAGCTCATCTGTCATATATAAAATCAATATCTCAACTTGCGCAAAGCTCCTTAGATAAATAGTCTGGAAGGCGAGTTTTGGGTAATG